CAGAGAGAGGGAGATAATGTTGGTCACTACTGTAGAGAAGTAATGAGCATGGCATTAAACACGATATTAAACATTAAATTTAATGCTCATTACTTCTCTACAATTTCTTTCTCCCCTTCTCTCCTTTTTGGATTTGGATAATAGATTGTCTTTCAAATGTTAAAACTTATTGAGGATCACGTTTTCATTATTGTATTTTATTTTTATTTTTATTTTACACAAATGTATCATCAATCGATGAACAGTTACCTCAATGTTGCTGTCACTGGAAAATTCGATAAAGGTGCATATCGTTGAACCTGTTTGGAATTTCTGATATGAATTGGGAAACTGATAGCAGGTTTAAGTTATTCTTGAACTGCAGAGCTATTGGTCTTTTTTGCTTAAGCCTAAGCAAAGAAAATATATTTTCGAAACAATCTTGTGTGAACCTGGCTGTGAAGACAAACTGGTAGTGTCCAATTGCGCACTTAATTTTTATTCAGTGCCGGTCGAACGTTCAAAATTTCTCAACACCATTGCGGCACTATATAAAAGTGATTTGAAGTCACTCGAAGAAACATGGTTGCCAATGACATTGCCAAAAGATTAATCAAAAACCATGCTGCTGTTTGTCGTGTTCCACCGGTGTTTCCATGGTTAGGCCTTAAACCAGAACAATGCAGATGTCGTATAGTGAAAGCGTAAAACTTTTAACATTTCGTTCTAATGACCCATTCGGCCTAATTATACATTCAGCGAGGCGGTGTTCGGCCTAATGGCATACGGCCTAAGAGTCCATCACCATCACCAGTGCTATGCCGTGCTCCCAGAAGAACTCTGCTCTGAACTTAGCATTCTTTGCGCGCTTTCGGTGATTGTTAGGCACAGTTGCAATAGAATAAAGGGTGGAACGGTCAAAGATTGGTCAGCCATGATTAAATGCACACTGATAAAGTTATTGTATAAATGATCAAACTTTATTTATTTTTGAAGTTCAATGACATGAAATACACGAAAATTATTTGATATGCGAAATGCGAACATTCGGGCTTTATGTTTCAACCAGATTTTGCACCACTGTTGTATCAACCTAAATGTCAGTTTGCTTTGAACTGTTTCTCATTTCCAACTGTTTTCTTGAGGTTCCGCTTAACGATTGTCCAATGTTTTTGAATTGGGTGCAACTTCGGTGAGTTTGGAGGGTTTTTATCCTTGGGTACGACTTGCACGTTGTTTGTTGTATACCGTTCCTGAGCCATTTTCCTGAAGTGACAGGAAGCGAGGTCGGGTCAAAACATAGCGGAACAACTGTGTTTCTTCAAAAAAGGCAACAATCATTTTTGCAAACATTTCTTTTCACAAATATCGTGGCTGACAATGCCAGTTGTTCTGAAAATTTCGTTTTTCAGCCCACAGGTGCGAATCGCCTGCCAAACCAAGTATTTTTTGGGAGCTTTGACAACTTTTTTTACTGAAATTTATCTTGAACCTGTCCATTTCCGGTAGCCGTGTAAACTCTGAACCTGAGAGCTGTTGGAAATCCACCTTGACGTATATTTCATCGTTCATTTTAACACAATCTAATTTCTTACGCAATCGATCTGCATGGGAATTCAGCAGGCCTGGGTTCAATTCCAGTCTGTGCCGCCGGGATGTTCTGAGGCATAACATCTCTGATCACGCCTTCCGTGAAGTAAAGCCGTTGGTCCCCGATTCATGAGTTGATGGGTCGATAGATAGGGTCCAGGTGTGAGAGCTGCCTCCCTGGCGTCGGTAGCATTGGTGTTTAGCACGGAAAACAAGATCGACGGAAAACAAATTAAAAAAAAATCTGCATGGGAATAATTTGAATTTCGCGTGCTTCGACGCCATTTTGACAACTGTATGGTAAATGGCAAAAACAAAATAGGGACAACATTTCGTACGCACAGACGTACAATATGAGGGGTGTTCAAGTTTTTTAAATGCTCGATTTAAAAAAACCGCCAAACTTGAGTCGACCAATTTTTCACCACCCTTTATCTAGAAACAAATTTTACAAAGAAATTTTCCATCCATCGATCGGAGCAAGCAATACGCGAAGTCACGACGAGCCGAAGATTAAAAGTTTAAACTAACATAATTTAAAATTTATCATCGAATCACCCTCACTCCCTCTGCCTTCTTTCTACTAAAGCATGGAAATGGCCCGGAATTTTGGACAAAAGGCTGAAAAAGCAACGTCATTTCAATAATCTAGGTAGTGCCGGTGGGGAAGGAATGTAAGCTCCTCAAGGAAATACTGACCGTGTGCACCGTAAAAAAAGGTATCCACGAAAAGTCCAGATGTACTCCAGCTGTGGCAACAGAAACCTTTAACATCCAGAAGACAGGATCGGAATGTTAAGTATTACGAACGAACGTCCCCGTGGATGGCAGGCAGCGGAACAAATCAACCGATTGAAAGACCACTCCTAAACCCCCGTCCCCCACCACCGTTTTTCATATAAATAAAAAGGGTTTCAATCGAAACGGAACTAGCAAGACCAATCCCGGTCCCATTAGCATATCTGTTCGGGAATGCAAAAAAGTTTTGGTCAACTTCCGGTCTCCGGTTAGAAGCCCTCTTCGTGCAGTTGTAGAACATACGAACCGAAAAGATGAAGGCAGTTTTCTCAAACAAGCTAGCATCAGATTGAAAATACACTTTCGAGACGACGACGACGACGACGTCGGAGGCAAAAGTTGGCTCATTCTTTTCAAAAAGCAATAAACTTCCACCCGGCGCCGGAGACGATACATATAGTAGCAATACACAGTACAGAGGAACCTGAAGCAGGCACAAGGTTGAAACAGGACGAGGTTCATTTCAACTCTTGATCGGGAAGGAGATTGAGATTCTTTTGAATATTGCCCCCTCACTCCCCCTCCTCCTTCGGCAAAGATTGACTGGTAGGAGTTGTGTTTTTCTTTCATGCTGTTGACTTTCTACAAAGAGCGAATGATTCGCCTGGCAAGGGGAGGGGGGACAAGAAATTAATTTCAGGTAATGATTTTTATTTGGAATTCAACGGGAGGCAATTTTAAATTCATCGATGTGTTGCGAGTGGTAGTTCAAGTTGAGCTAAGATTAGCATCTGGGGTAGATTAATTGGGGATGAGGCGTCGCGTCGATCGATTTTCGACTGGTGAAGTTTGATGGAAGCAAAATTTCGGATAGGTGGAGGTTACTTCCTACCCCTCAGTATAATTGGATATTTTCCCTTGGGTCCCTCTTTTGCATAGTTGGAAGTGAAAATCTTGTCATATGATATTTTCCCTTTGGTCCCCTTTGCATAATTAGAGGGGATTTTTTTCTCATGATATTTTACATTGATCCCCCTTTGCATAATTGGAGATGCCGAAATTTTCATAAGATATTTTCCTTTGGTCAAAGAGGAAATTATCATGTGCAAATTTTTCATCTCCAATTTTTCAAAAGGGGGGGTCCAAACGGAAAATATCATATGCCAAATCTTCAGCTCCAATCATGCAAACGAAATTAAAATATCATGATAAAAAATTTCACCTCCACTTATGCAAAGGGGACTAAAGGGAAAACATCATATGAAAATATTACTACTTTAATTATATAAAGGGGGTCCAAAGAGAAAATATCATATGACATTTTTTTTTCCTTAAATTGTTTTCCGTCTGTCTTGTTTTCCGTGCTGAGCACTAATGGACCCTACCTATCGACCCAGACCCACCAACGGCTTTACTTCCCTTTCGAAGGAAGGCGTGATCAGAGATCTTATGCGTAAAGGAAATAACGAAAATATGTTTTCAGAATGCAACGTAGCAAAAGAATGGAAATTCTGTCAAGCAAGTGATCCTTTCAATTTAGATTCGCAACTGTCAGCAGCAGACGTGAAACGGAAAAAAAACACTTGAAAAATATTCTCTGGCCACTTGACAATAACACGTACCACATTATCCATGTAATGTAATGTTATTGATTATGAAACATTGCATATGTTATATGAAAACATCTTTCCGGGATATTTGTTAGCAAATTTTCCTATTATGCTTCTTGGGAGAAAGTGCCAAATTTCAAGTAAATAAATGCTTTCTCGATTTGTTATGTGTACACTTCTAAGACCATTCTATTTTAAAATCCCTTCGAGACCGTTTTCTCACATTAAATATTAGCATTCCAATTTCAGCAAACATGTTCTGCTTCCGATGGATCTAAAATAGCCAGCACTCACTGCTTCCAAAACCCCCAACATAGCTCACGGGCCATAAAACAATGCAAAGCTTCTCATTCCAGACGTCCGTCTCCGTTATGTCTTTGCTCCCGATTTAGAAAACTCCATCACTCAAAGAAAATATTGCATCAATAATTCATAGATCAGATGTTGGTCCTTCTATCCCGTCCCCCAGAGTCATACTTAACAACAAACCAATTTTCTGTGTCTTATTGAGCTCTTCTTCCCCTCCGGTGCAAAAATGGGACACATTCGATTTGAATATTGGTGACCTTTATCCTGGCCTCCCCGTCGCCGTCGTCACCCCGGGGGTTTACAGCACAAACAAAGTCCGATATATCCCTAATCTCCCTCTGCTGGGGGATGCTCACCAACGAACGGATCGTTCGTTGTGATTGATGACAGATTTATCGGCCGAACGAAATTCCCACGATGATGTAATGCGACGTCGTATCGAACTGAAACAGTTTAATATTTAACTCTTTTATTCTCTTTTTCAGTGTGTCAGTTCTATTACCATATGTGTGTATGTTGTTTAATTAAATATGTTTCTTTTTTCTCTTCTTCTATTTACCCACCTTCACCTCATCTTGCGTCTTCGAATCGATTCGAAAAAAAAACCGTCACAAACCAACCAAAAACCAATACTGAAAAACCGTTTGTATGCGAAAACCAAACTAAACTCCTTTACTTGCATCGACACCAAATACCATTCGAACAACCAAACCCCTCCCCATGAATGACCCCACCCCCTCGAAATAAAATAAATCTATCAAAAAAAAAAAAAAGGAATGGAATGATATGAATTTAAGGTGGAACACATCGGACTATGGTGGTGTCAAAGATCTACGAATACCACCGCATCGAATTTGGAAACCAGATGTTTTGATGTACAACAGGTTGTTATTCATTCTTATCTTAATAAAAAAAACTACAACTAACATTACCTAAAACAAACGCTAAACGTACGCTGTACAATCACAAACAAACATACACCTAAACACAAACGAATCAGATACAGACTTTGCCTCGGACAGCAAAAATGACACGCACACTGGCGCAAGCATTAGCAGAACACGGCTTTTGGCCTCGCTCTCTGTTCTTGTCAGGGCTGGCATTATTCCACGCGACACGCGTGAATATTGCCAGCACTGCACTTGGACACTCTCACTCACACACTCGCATTGCTAATTTTGCGCATTAGCTCACCTTGCCAACAGCACTCGACAACAGTAATAACGACCCAGAACAAGGAACGAAATCCTGTTCAGTATTAAATCACTCTCATATACAGAAGAACTCGAACAATCAACATCAGCCACATCTCAGAAAAGTCGTGTGTAGCAATACGAAAGAAAACAATTACAAACCCAATACAGTCAACCAGTAGTGGACCTAAAATTAAAAAAAAAAACGAAGAAAATCAGAAAGTCTCGGTTGTGCGGGTTGAACGCGTGGAGTGCAATCGCCCATGGAAGACCCGGGTTGACTCGGTGCGGATTCTGGGTGCCACGTTGCGCCCCCTCTGTCCCGTAGAATAGGTTCCGTAGTGTAAGGATGGATTTTCAAAATTTTATGTGATGCGGGAACTAAGGAACACACCCACGTACGGATTCCGGTTGTGAACGAAACTGGACACTGTAGACTCGGTACCAAATTTCGCCTAACTTCCCCTTTTGATGACATTCGATGCTACCCGATGGGACTCGACGCAAGGCGGGTGGTTTGCATGGGAATTTGGTGCTTGGTCTGCGGTTTCCTCCGGAGTCCGGTTAGTTCCCGTTGATCGAATTATTAGATTGAGGTTTAACTAATTCAGTAGATGTGCTCACAGTGCCGGAATGTGCGGGTAGGTGGTGGTCAAGAAGTGGAATTCTAGAAACGGAAAACAGCTGGTGGACGCCATGGTATACATATATTGATAAATGTCAAACATCAACTTCATTTGAAAATCGAACATGACGAAATGGAGTTCAAAAACGCAATACGGTAACCGACAAACCGACATGAAACTAAAACTTAACTCTTGATCGAGAATCCATAACGGCGGATTCAAATGTGCAGCGATCCCATTTGTCAAAACCATAGAAATTTGTTATCTAGATAAAAATAATTTGCCCGGAATAGATTAGACACGAACCAACTCATACATTTAGTATGTGTGTTCGTGGCTAGGATACACATTTTTCGCGAACACGGTGGCAGATGTCAGTTTTGTGCTTTGATCAGAAATTTGATGATATTTTGTGTGATCATTCATGTCGGTTTGTCGGTGATACGGTCGCCAAGTGGATGCTCTTTGAAAATCTAAATGACAGGGGAATCGTTATTCGATGGCATTAGGCAATCAAAATGGTGGATTTAAGTTTAAATTTTAAACCTTCGACTAAAAATCACATGAAGAATTTAAAAAATATATATTCTTCACCAATTTTAAACTAAAACTATGCTTTTTTTAAAAGTCAGTTCTTATAAATAATAAAACATTATCAAGAATCTGAAGCGAAGATAAATATTCATGATGTTGGGCATGGAACATTTACCAAGATCACAGAATTAAAAACAAAAAATAACCAACTAAGAAAATATTTCAAGGCTCATGGAATTTGATTCGAATTTCTAGGGAACTAATTCCAAGTGAGTTCTGAGCAGAGGTTGAAACGGTTGAGGTTTTTTTTTACTACACTTTGCTTCGCTGTCGAGAGTGACAGTATGTGTGTATTCGTACACTCATGCTCTACTGCCGTCTCTATCACATCAAACAAACAGTAGAATAACATTCGAACAAAAAGAAAATTATCATATAACTATCACATGATAATGTGTGATTTCGTTCTAATCTGAGAGGCGTGACTTTTTGAACCGTTGAAGATCTTTAGAACAGAATGTGACCAACCTGAAGTCTTGAAAAAATATCCAAAGGCCTTTATGCAGATCTTTGATCAATTGAAGGTCTTTAAAACATATCTGAGAGACGTGACTTGAACTGTTGAAGAGTTTGTGATCTTTAGAACAACATCTGCCTAACCCCAAGTCTTAAAAAACTATCCAAAGGACTTGGTCGACCTGAGATCTTGAGAGAATATTTGTGAAATATGACTTGAATTATTGGCCAGTTGAAGATCTTTATAACAATATCTGATAAAACTCAAGTCTTGAAAAATTTCCAAAAGATTTTATGGAGATCTTTGACCAACTGAAGGTCTTTGGAATAGTTCCTGGTCAACTCTGGAGCAATCTGAATTCTTTAAAAAATATTTGAGAGACGTTAATTGTTGGTCAGTTGAAGATCTTCAGAACAATATCTGTCCAATCCCAAGTCTTGAAAAAATATCAAATGGACTTTATGGAGATCATAAATCAACTGAAGGCCTCTGGAATAATTCGTAGTCAATCTGATATCTTGAGAGAATATTTGAGAAACATGACTTGAATTGTTGGCCATCTGAAGATCTTCACAACAATACCTGATCAATCTCAAGTCCTAAAAAATATCCAAAGGACTTCATGGATATCTTAAATCAACTGACGGCCTTTGGAATAATAGCTGGCCAGTTAAAAATCTTCTCAACAGTACCTGATCAGCCTCAAGTTTTGAAAAATATCCGAAAGACTTTATGGAAATCATTTTCAACAGGAGATCTTTGAAATCATTCCTGGTCAAGTTTATATCTTTAAAAGATATCTGAGACGTGACTTGAATTGTTTGTCAGTTGAAGATCTTCAGAACAATATTTGCCCAACCCCAAGTCTTGAAAAAATATCAAATGGATTTTGTGGAGATCTTAAATCAACTGTAGGCCTTTGGAATAGTTCCGGGTCAATCTGATATGTTGAGAGAATATTTGAGAAACATGACTTGAATTGTTGGCCAGTTGAATATCGTCATAACAATACCTGATAAACCTCAAGTACTGAAAAATTTCCGAAAGACTTTATGGAGATCTTTGATCAACTGAAGGTCTTTGGAATAGTTCCTAGTCAACTCTGGAGCAACCTGTATTCAGTAAAAAATATTTGAGAGACGTGTCTTGAATTGTTGGTCAGTTGAAGATTTTCAGAACAAGATCTGCCCAACCCCAGGTTTTGAAAAAAAATCAAATGGATTTTGTGGAGATCTTAAATCAACTGAAGGCCTTTGGAATAGTTCCGGGTCAATCTGATATGTTGAGAGAATATTTGAGAAACATGACTTCAATTGTTGGGCAGCTGAAGATCTTCACAACAATGCCTGATCAACCTCAAGTCTTCAAAAATATCCAAAAGACTTTATGGAGATAATTGTCAACTGAAGGTCTTTGGAATCATTTCTGGTCAACTTGATATCTTTAAAAAATATCTGAGAAACGGGACTTGAATTGTTGGTCAGTTGAAGATCTTCAAAACAGTATCTGCCCAACCCCAAATCTTGAAAAAAATATCCGGTTGACTTTATGGCGATCTTTGAGCAACTGAAAGCCTTTGGAATAATTTCTGGTCGACATGATATCTTGAGAGAATATCTGAAAACATGATTTGAATTGTTGGCCAGTTAAAGATCTTCACCACAATACTTAATCAACCTTAAGACTTGAAAAATAACCAAAGGACTTTATGGAGATCTTTGATAAACTGAGGGTATTTGGAATAATTCCTGGTCAATCCCGGGTAAACCTGTTTCTTACAAATGTAAATGAGAGACGTTACTTGAATTGTCGGTCAGTTGAACTGGAGACCTTTGGGATAATTCCTGGTCAACCTGATGTCTTGTAAGAATATCTGAACAACCTGAAGTCTTGGAAAAATATCCAAAGGATTTTATGAAGATCTTTGATCAACTGAAGGCTTTGGAATAAGTCCTGTTCAATCTGATATGTTGAAAGAGTACTCAGGAGACATGATTACAATAATTGGACAGTTGGAGATCTTCAGAATAATATCGGATCAACCTATTCTTGATCACCATTGTATCTTCTAGTTCCAGTTGAAGACCTTCCGAATAATACTTGACTAACTTGTATTATTATTATTGTCTATATTAAAGGCACATCTCTCATTGAACTTCCGAGCGGTTCATATATCTTCCAAACAGTTATTTGAACTGTCGCGATGTACATAGAACTTCCGAAGTGTCCCTAGAACTTCCAACCTGTTCATAGAACTTCCGTGCTGTTCTCAAGACTTTCGCGAAATTCATAGATTTTTCGAGATGTTTGTAGAACTCCCGAAATATTCATAGAACTTACGATCAGTTCACAGAACTTCCAAGCTGTTCACAGATCTTCCGAGATGTTCATAGAACTTTCTGGATGATCATCGAATTTCCGAGATGTTCATAGAATTTTCCAACGGTTCATAGAACTTCCAAGAATTTATTTAAACTTCTGAGCAGTACATAGAGCTTCTGAACAGTTCCTAAATTTTTACGAAGTGTTCCTAGAACTTCCGACTAGTTCATAGAACTTCCGTGCTGTTCTCAGGACTTTCGAGAAATTCATATATTTTTCGAGATGTTTGTAGAACTCCCAAGATATTCATAGAGCTTACGAACAGTTCACATAACTTCCGAGCTGTTTACAGATCTTCCGAAATGTTCATAGAACTTTCTAGATGATCATAGAATATCCGAGGTGTTCATAGAACTTTCGAGAATTTATTTAAACTTTCGAGCAGTACATATAGCTTCTGAACAATTCTGAGAACTTCCGAAGCTTCCATAGAAATTCTTAGATTTTTCGAGATGTTTGTAGAACTCCCGAGATGATCATAGAACTTACGAGCAGTTCACACAACTTCCGACCTGTTCCGAGCTACAGATCTTCCGACATGTTCATAGAACTTTCTAGATGATCATCGAATTTCCGAGATGTTCATAGAACTTTCCAGCGGTTCATAGAACTTCCGAGAATTTATTTAAACT